CTGCCGTCTCGGGCGGCGGCGAGGAGTCGTGCGGGGCGCCTGCCCCGAAGCGCTCTCCGCCTGGCCCGGGGGAAGAGCGGGTCGCCCGCCCGCTGCCCCGGCGTGCCCGCGGCGGCGGCGGCTCGGCGGTGAGCGGCGCTCGGGGCGCCCCGTCCGCGGTCGTGCTTCGCGGAGCCCCTCCGCGCCCGGGGCCCTCGCCGGCCGGCGGTGCGTCCCCCCCCCCCCCGCCCCCCCCGGCGTTGGCTGGTGGGTGCCCGAGACGCGCAGCCCCGTTCACATGTGCCGGGGGGAGTCGCGGGTTTCCACGGGCCCTGCTCTGGCCCGTCGGGGGTGCGTGACACCCGCGTGGCCGGGGCAAGGCTGCCTGCACGCGCCGTTCGGGCTTGCCCTTAAGCGGCCTCGGCGTGCAGCCGGAGAAGGGGGCGGGGGTGCCCGGGAGCGGGGGCTTCGAGGGCAGCAGGGACCCTGCGGCGTCCGTTGCACTGGTAGCCTTCGGCGCCGTTTGGGCTGCGTGGCGGTGGGGCTTTGAACGCAGAATTCTGGAGCAGTAATGGAAAAGAGCGCCTCTGAGTGAGTAGAGAGTGCAAGCAATGCCTGGATGCCTTTTGTATGGTGATAGAGGTACTCTGGGGTTAATCGCTTAGGGTACTGTGTTCCCCCCTTTTTTCCCTACACACATACAAAATGCTTCTAGCTCACACCAGTCTTCTGCAACCCTGCACATCCAGACGTGGTGGGCCACAATGCCCATCATTCCCAGCAACTAGTTGGAGCAGCCCCTTCCCTTCAGCTGGACGCGACACGCTGCCCAAGGCCTGGCCGGTTCTCCAGGTGAGCAGCCCAGGAGGTCCCAACCCGAACTTGCCCTTCCCTGCTGTGCCTTTTTCCGCCATCCTGGCACCCTCGATTGGAAGGCTGGAAAATTGCTCCCTCCAGCAAAAGGCAGCTGCCCACAGTTCTGCGTGGAAGCCCCCCCCCCCCAGCCTCCTTCCGAGAATGAAAGCAGGCAGTTCCCTAGGAGCTTGGATGGACTTTTTCTGTTTGCCTCCCTCTGTGGCACCAGAGGCCGTCTGTTTAGGCACCTGGTCATTAAAAAGAAAAGAGAGAGGACCAAAGCCTTTGGTATCAGCTGGCCAATGGAGAACAACTTCCCACAACTTGCTCTCTCTAGAGGTGTTGGACTACCATTCCCATAGTGCTGGGAGTTGTCATCCAAGAGGCTCTGGAGGATGGTAAGTTGGAGGAGGTGGCTCTAGGTAATCTTCCAGCAGATCTTTGGCTGCGTAGGATTTTTCTTTTTCTTCCCTTAATTTTAAATTCACTTTCTATTCATGTTTGGCTTTTAAAGTGTTTCCATAAGCTGGCTTATATAAGGCGGGGTGTGCTTTTTTAGTTAAACAAAGGAAAGAGCACTGAACTGGGTTTCTCCACTGAGTAACGCCAGCCGGTTGCTACCGTTCACTATCCACAAACGGCACGCAAGCGGCAATTCACACATTGGCACGTATCTTTCCTGCATCGCTACTTGCTTGGCTGAAGCTCTTCCAATCCCTTGCCTCAGATCATTAATGCCGCATTTAGTTATTTCAGGGCGATCAAATGTTTGCCAGAACAGCGCAAATCTTTCCCACCCCAATTCATTGGCACTCAGTGTGGCAGCCTTCCCCAACGTGGTGCCCTCTGGACTGCAACTCCCATCATTCCTGGCTATTGTCGCACTGCCTGGAGGCCGATGGGGGCTGCATTCCAACACATCTGCGGGGCACCGGCTTGGGAAAGGTGGCAGCCGATGGCTGTCGGCAGTCATGGAGACCCGAGGTCGGCAAACTTCAGGCTGGTGTGATCTGCCTTCGGGGCGGGGCGGGGGTCGGGACAGCTCATGCCAGCAGCTGTCCAGGACTGTGGAATGTGCTCCCCGACTTTATATTCTTTTTGGCACCAGGCAAAAACCTTTTTATTTACCCAGCATTTTAAGGATTAAGGAATTTTCACGGGTTTTTAGTATTTACAGTCGCATTTTGTTTTTGCTGGTATTATGCATGTCATTTACTTATTGTTCAGTTTATTTATTATTCTAATTATTGTAAGCCATCCTGGGATGATTTTCATACAGGACGGGGTAGAAATATTTTAAATAAATAAAGAGTAAAACGCTACTAGCAGGGCTACACCAAAGGTGGTGGGGCCCGGGGCCCAAATTTGCCACCTGAGATCCTTGGAAAGCCGTATCTTCTTCCCTTGCGCCTGCAGTTTTAGCGTCTTCACAGCCTTCTGCAGTTCCTCCCGCATTCAGAAGGTCCAGCCCCTGTCCTCAGACCTCGCGAGTGGGAGCACTGGCCTAGAATCCGCTGGTTTTGTTTTGCATTTTTGGCCCGCTTCTTTTGCCTTCGTGCCCCTGCTCTCCCTCCTCTAGAATGCAGCCCTGAGAGCCTCCCGGAAACTGGCTTTGGCCTCCCGGTTGAGAGAGTTGCCTGCTGTTGCGTCGCCCATCCTGGGCCTGGGAGGCGGCACTGCGACGGTGCTCTGTCCTCTGCTCACCTCCTGCATTGCGGGGAAGGGGCGAAAACACCAGTTCACTGCTCTGGGTGCCTCCACCCGCAATGGTGTGAGGGGTACTTCCAGGGAAAGAGCGGGTGCCGATCCGTGGAATGCCCTTCCCGGTTCTACTGTTCAGCGCTTTGCTGGTGTCCAGAGGCAGGGTTCCTGCGTGGAACAAACCCCGACTGCAGTCTGTTTTCCTTGCAAAACATTCTGTATTGCTTCTAAGGACAAATTTCCCTAAAGGGACCTCTGCACATGCACAGAGAGGTTTGCTGAGCCTTATCCAGTGATTTCCTCCAGGAACTCTCCTTATGAACTCGCCAGGACCCCAGCCCTTCAAGAGGGGCTCTCTGGAAGTGAGCACACCTCTTCCCCGCTTGCTGCTCGTGTCACCTCTGCTGACACCTTGCTACAGGGTTTAGGGGTGGGCCGGTCCACCTCTGGGAATTCCTCAGCCCCATCAGCCCTCCTGCTGTCTGTGCATCTGAGCCATTCCACGGAGCTGCCTGGCGCAGCCGAGTGTTGAGCCGTGAGATCATCACCCCCTCCTCCTCTTGCATCCTTGAGCTAACCCATGTTCCCCAAGTTCACCAAGACATCCGCCCCTCCTGAATCTGAATCAGCACCTGGGATGGGGCCAGAGGGCTGTGGGAATGCTTGCCCATTTCTCTTGCTCTCAGCCGTCCTGTTGCTTCTAGCCGTCCTTTGGGGAAGTTTGGGAAATAACGTTCTTGGTATTGGTGGTTGGCTGGGGGAATTCTCTTCCAGCTTAATAATAGCAGTGGGGTGTGTGTGCGGGGGCGGGGGAGACAGTGTTACCACCACCTTCTGCACACACATCACATCTGCCTCCCCCTCATTGCCGCTTTTCTCTTTTTGTTGCGCTGTGTTTTAATATCAGAGGGTGGTTTTCCTAGCGCTGTCTGTCTGTCTGTCTGATCCTTCCCGTTCGCTGGACTTCTGCAAGGGAAGGCAGGAGCTGGGAGGCAGCGATGGCTGTTTGCAACAGGTCTATCTGTTAGTGTGTCTGAGAGCAGCTAAGCCAGCGTAGCGTCACACCCGTTACTGAGTCAGCCACTAAACGGGATCTCATGGCCCCATTAATTCAATCTGCTTTTTGCATTCGGTTCTGGAAAATTGCTGCAATGAATGCGTCCTCCTTGTTTCGCTCTTCCCTCGTTCCCCCTCCTGCTTCGGTGGAAGAGACGGTGGCTCGCTTTCTGCGGCAGTTGTCAGAACTACATATGGGCACTTAACCTAGATAAACGGCTGGATCTGTGCAAATGCAAGCCGTTTGGGCAAAGGTCACTGGTTGTGGCGGAAGTTCTGTTGGTCTTTTCAGTGCCTCAATTAAAGGCAGATCGAACCTGGCGAAGTGGCAACACCTCCTGATGCTTGATAGCACTCTTTTCAGACTACCTTACGCTTAGAGAAGCAGTGCAAAACCGCCGGCCCTCAGCAGGAATCCCTTGCAGTCCCAGCCTGGCCTCTGTTGCTTCTCCTGCTGCCGCCCATCTTTCCTCTGACTGCTGCGCTCCTTGGTTCTTTCACGTTTATTTCTGCCTATTCCAAGATAGGCCAGTCCTTGGGTCCGAACCGGCAAACAGTTGCTCTTCACCACCGCTGCATTTACAATCTAGGGCGCTGATGCTCTGGAAGCTCCAACCATGTTTTGGGTTCTTAAACTGTGGCCAGTGCAAGGTGTGGGGTTTTTTTGGAGGGGGGGGAGTGCAGCCTGACAGAGGATGGTTCATGTGTTGTGCAGTTGCTTGTTGTCATCCAAGTAAGCATCGGGCTGGAAAGAGATCCGCAAAACACCGGTCAGTCTTGTGGCAGAACAAGGCGGGGTCTGTGTGCCAGAGAAAAACAATTCTTTGGACCTTCAGAGACCTGCTGCTCTGCAAGAAACGAAATTGATGTATAAGACGCTGCAACAGGCCAATTGTCCTGAAAGTGGCTTACGCGGGTGAGGTGGGTGCTGCGCCTAGTGCCAGCTCTCACTGTGAGGGGGTCTAGGTGCCTTTGGTTCCGCTGTCTGTGGACCCTGGCAATCCCAATTTCAGGGTGACGGAATCAATGCCTGGCTTGGATCCCGAAAAGCTGCAGAGCCACCTTTCCCCGTGTGAGCTGCTCAATCCCTGTATGGCCCGTGGAGGCCCCCTCAT